TGGCTGTGGAGGTCCCCTCACCTCCTCTTTAAGGGAGGGAGGCTTTGCTGCTTCTCAGGAATCCGTGAGGACCAATTCTGGCTCAGATGAAAGAAAATCCCATAACCTTCTTGGTGACTTGCTGATTGCATGATGTGGGCATAGTAAATATTGACTATTTTATGACCCAAGCTAATCCAATGATAATTCATTCTAACATTGTGGGTGCTCTTTCAGTAATTAGTTGGTGGAGACCTGGAACCCAAATGACATCCGACCCTTGCTTTAACCAGCTGTAAAAGGGGCTGGACCATGTAGCCTCTGGGGTCCCATCAGTTCTGATGTTGTCTGGGTCTGTGACTCTGGGACGTTCGGGCTGGGAGTGGGTCTGAGATTGGGGCCATGCTGAATTCACCCCCCCATCCCCCTTTTTCATATTTTCTTCCTCTCCCTTTTCTTTCTGGATCTGTAGTTCAAAGTATTCCTGTTAGTCATTCAGTTCAGCCACAGTATGACTGAGACAGCCGTAACCTAATCTGAGAACCTCCCGACTGAGCCCCCTACAGCATCTTTCAAACTTCACCTTGTCCTTCATTTCTCTGCTCAAGTCACTGCTCTTCGGAGAAACCTTCTCTGATCGTCCTGTACAACAGGAGTTGAAAAACTTTGCNAGGCCGGCCCTGGTTTGGGACTTTGAAGTCAGGATGGCTTGATTTTATAGATGAATGTCATTATCTTATTGATGTATTTTGGGGAGAAACCATCTCATTTCATCTCATTGAAGATGTTATCGTCTCCCTGGAAAACTGGATGACAGTTTTGACCTGGTTTTAGTGGAAATAAAAACTATTTTCAGTACAACAAGTCATCTTAACTGTCCATTCAGATGGGATCCACTCAGTGAAATTGTTTTGTATCTAACGTTACAAATCCAAACGTTCTCTGATTATACTTTGAAAATAGTGGTGCTCAAATCATGGCAGGCATCTTCAGCTTTGAGGGATGAGTGACAGGGACCGTCACTGGCCCCACACATTGTAGTTGGAAGGTGAGCCTTGCATTTGCTGGCTCACTGGAGTCTCATGAACATGCCATGATATTTGGGTATTCTTGCTTTTCAGGTGAGAAGGAGGTGAGGCCGAGAGGCTAAGCAGGAACGGAGAGGAGTGGAAAGTCAGGGCTTCATCCTCTTTTCACCAGGGCAGCACCCATTTACCAAGCATCTCCTGTGTCCAATAAGACGTGGCCCTCACCATCCCGCGTTCTTCCTCCTAGAACCGGCAGGTGGTAGTGTCTTTTTGGTGACATTGATC